TGGTGGACCAGCGTGGACTGGACCAGGTTCCAGGTCGAGCCCGACGATGGGGCGCCGCTGGAGTGGGCTAAGAAGGGCCGATGGGAGCGCCTTCGCCTGGCCTCCGCCAGGCCGTCGGCAGACACCTTCGACTTAGGCGGCTTGGCTTTCCACCCCGCCGTCGCGGCGGGTCGGCGCCTCATGCCGTGCGCCACAACGCCGGCACCCACCGACGAGGGCCGGCCCAAACCTCGGGCCACCAGACGAAAGACGTCCAAGGATACCGACGCCAGGTGGAGCGACGGCAAGCGCCAATACGCCCCGTGGCACTACCAAATCGAGGCCATGCTTCAGGACAGCCAGGGCGTCCTGCACCTGCCCACGGCAGAGATCAAGGAGCAGCTGCACGGCATCCCCACCGGTTATACGGCTCAGGCGGGGGTCGACGACAGGACTCGCCACCGCATGATTGGCAACGGCTGGCATTGGGGAGTGGCTGGGCGCATCCTGGGCTTCGTCGTCCTGGCCGCCTGGCAGAGGCCCGCCGCCTGCCCGCCTCGCCTCGGACCTCTACATTGCAGTGGCTGACCCAGGCCTGGGCGGGACGCCCGTGGGATTTCTCCCCTCCGCCCCGGCCGTCCCCACCAGTCCTGGGCGAGGGTCTCGACATGGGGCAGCATTGGGCCTCGGCGCCGCTTATGCAGCACTCTTTGGCCAGGCGCCCAGAGTTGGAGCCGGCCCTCTCGGCGGTTCTCCACCTCCGGCGGCAGTGGCGACATGACCTTTGCCGCATCCGCCGGGAGGTCGTCGCGGAGCTCCTCGTCTTGGTGGAGGAGCGCGAAGACGACACACGGGCCTGGCTCCAGGAACTGCCGGCCCATGTCAGGGCTGCCTATACGATCTCGGACCGCCCCGGGGCCAACCTTCCTGGGCCTGCTCCGCGACCTCGGCTACCCCGCGACCGCGGACCTCGAAGAGGACCTGCGCCTGGGCTTTGACATGCTTGGCCCGGTCCGCCGCGCACCGGGCTGAAACCGCGGGTCGACGGGCTTGGATCGCCTGCGGCAGGAGAACCCGCCCTACGTCGCGGCCAAGTGCTCCAGGGGGCGCTCCGGCGTCCACACGGCGGCCCTCCTGGAGGAGTTGGTGCAAGAGGCCCGCCTGGGTCGAGTCACCGGCCCTTGCGCCGCTCCCGACCACTGGTCCGTGGCAACCTCGGCGCTGCCCTGGACGGCTGACATGCACACTTTGCGCCAGCCGCCGCTGGGCGACTGCTTCGCCGCCCTCTCCTTCGCCATTTGCCAGGTCGACGAGAACGGGGACCTCAAACTACGCCGGGGCGAGGACTGGCGCCGGTCAGGCCACAACGCCACCATGAGCGCCGGGGACGTGCCCACCCACCACTTCCTGGGAGACATTGTCGACTTCATCCTGGCCGC